AGTTTTCCATCTCCTGATGTTACACCTTCTTTTTTTATATACCGCGACAGTCGTTCTCGGCGAGGATTCGCAGCGGATCCCGATTTGTGCGCGGCGTGCGGGAAACATTTCATGTTAAATTTAGAGAAGAATAAGAGCGTCACATGACACTGTGACATCAAGCGAAGTGTTTTCACGCTAATCATAGCGAAAAATATGTTCTAGTAAATTTCACAGGAAATTAACGTCATATGACGTCACGTCGTGCGACGCCATGTGAAAGCGTTTTTCTGCTAAATTTCCTTCAGAAATTGGGACGTAACCCGACACAGCGAGGTCACGTCAAGCGTTTCCCCTACTAAACGCCGCGGGAAACTTGTGACATTAGGGAGTTTTCGTAGACCGCGCTGCCCCCTCCGCTAAGCGTTCCGCAACGAAGAAGTTGCTACTGCGCCTGCGCGCCGATAGCCTTGACTGTGGAGTTCCCACTATCGTAGCGGGTTGCGGAGGGCGTTGCGGGACGGCGAAAACGATCTACGAAAACTCCCTATTAGAGAGTTTTCGTAGAGGGTTTTCGCCGTCCCGCAACGCCCTCCGCAACCCGCTACGATACACGGAACTCTACAGTCAAGGCTATCGGCGCGCAGGCGCAGCAGCGGCTTCGTTGCGGAGGGTATAGCGCAGGGGGAATCGCGGTCTACGAAAATTCCTTTTTATAAGACGTGACGTCACGTCGCGTGAAGCGTTTCCCCGCTAAATTTACCAAGGTTAATGGGGAATTGTAGTAGACCGTTCCCGCAGCGCGCTAAGCCCCCGGATTGCGCTCCGTAATCCGCCACAAGACCTGGAACTATGCAGAGAAGAATGGCGGCGCGCATGCGCAGCTGCGGCGTTTTCTTCGGGGATACCGTAGCGAAGGAGAAAAACGGTCTACTACAATTCCCTACTGTTTTCGCGTGCCACTGTGACATACCGCTTTCACATTATTCGCTTCCTCTGCCTCCCGTCGTCAAAAATATAAAACCAGCATCATGTTGTTGTTGTTTTGTGGTTGTACTGTTGAGATGGGGAAAGAGGCCATGCCCACAAGGCTTTGTAGTTCATGGCACTTACTTTTCTGCGGTTCTTTGATGGGCTCCGGCGCCCGTCGAATCAAGCGCAGGATTTTCGGTCCAACCTGAAGCAGTGTGCCCAGGATGTTAATCAGAATTCCGACGCCGAAGATCGACCTGTGCCAATCAGAAGGAAGAAAGACTTAAAAGGCTAAAAGGCGCGAACAAAACAGGACGAAAAACGACACACGTACGACACGGACAGGCGCCGGAAATTTAATCGATATGTACCAACTAGTCCCAACCAAAGTTTTATTGGAAGAAAGACCACGAAAGACGCGCCTATTCTAGTGTGTGGCTCCAAATACTCTGATCTCACCAAGCGTTCGGCGCATGCGTAACGCCTCCATAACTTTAGTTCACAGGAGGCAGACGGCTGTGCATACGAGGGTTCGTGCCGTCTCGTGCTTTACACGCCCAGAGCTCCCAGCGGCGTTCTCGAACGTAAAGAAAGACTTCTCGATGCATTGCGGCAGCGGTGGCGTAGTCAAACTGGCTGGTGAGATCGGTCTATTGGGGATCGGTGACCGAATGGGCTATATTCCGTTGCAACTCAAGAAGGTATAGGGCGAGGGAAGTAAGGCTGGGGAGGAGGAAGCAGACGGAACGCTGGAGAAGAGAGAGGGAAGCCTCCTCCTCTTTCCAGCGTTCCTGCTTCCTATGCCATTTCCTGACGAAGCCAAGCCTCTCGGCGAAACTGTCGTAATAAATGCAATAAACCCCTAGCATAGCAACTCCGAAAGTACGGATCTCACACTATATATATATATATATATAACCAGGGGTTAGACGTCAGTAGAGCAAACGGGTTTTATCAGCCACCACCAGTCTAACACCAACAAGGGTGAAGCTTGCAAGCTTGCAACCGTCCCTCTTGTTCCCCTTCTCCAGGGATTATTTTCATCGTTATTGTCCAGCTCGCTTGCCCCTTTGCAATTAATTGCATTATAATTATAACATTAAATTGCAAGCTTCACCCTTGTTGGTGTTAGACTGGTGGTGGCTGATAAAACCCGTTTGCTCTACTGACGTCTAACCCCTGGTTAGCTCAGTTGGTAGAGCGCTCCACTTGTAATGGAGAGGTCCCGGGTTCGATACCCGGACCAGGCGGATTTATTCGGTCGCTCACCAGTCACCTAGCTGTGTTTGGAGATTTATGTTTGTCCCTCGTCCCTCTTGTTCCCCTTCTCCAGGGATTATTTTCACCGTTTGTAGTCTCGATATATATATAAATACAACGGGCATAGTGGCGGGAGGCCGAAGGCCACGCCTTCGGCCTCCCGCCGTATATGCCTGTTGTATATATATATATATATATATATATATATATATATATATATATATATCGGGACTACAAACGGGTTTACATTTGCTTAAAGTCTGATCTTTCGCCATGATTAGCAACAATTACATCGCACTGTATGAAAGGTTAGCTTGTCGAATATATTGAAGCTGTTAATTGATTAATAAAAATTAATAATAATAATATTATATTCGCCACATCAACAAGTTAATCGAATATTTCTGGGGCGCACTCCTGTCACATTGGCCACTGTGACTGTGTCGTAAAGTACGAACAGCTCACATTAGAACATTTAAGCCGCAGGTGTTCGAATGGAGATGCTAGCACACTCACAAGACTGCCACGTAGTAACCAGGCAGGAAGGGCTTCTCTTTGATTTCGCACCACGGGACCGTGACGTTGGATTTCATCTGCTTCCCAACTGAAAAAAATGGAGACACAACCTCGAGTCCATAGTCTTCCTTTATAGAACGCACGCTTTAGTTTCTTTTTGTTCGTTTCATAACAGTAGCTCTTACTACTGAGGTAAAAAAACTTGTCCGTGCACGTAAAAGGGTCGTGGGTGAGACTTTATGCGGCATGGCCACGAGAACCGATGCGTGCAAAACGAGAGCATTAAACCGTATAAGACAGACAGACGCCTTCAAATGTTCGTTTTTAACCCGTAAAGTTGAAGACTATATTCGGCTACCCAAAAATATTGTTTCGATGCTTTCGAATAACCTGCGTGTCTAATTTTTGTTAGACGAGCACGAATGACGCTCGCTTTCCGGCGTTAGATATGTCACACGGTTTGCACACTTGTGCGCACGTGCAGAATACATTTTCTACAAGATGATCACGTATGTTGACCGCTCTTCTGCGCTAATTCTACCTCGACGCTGCTGGATGACCTAAATTGGGTATAAGGTTGCTCGCTCGGGTTCCCCGCTAAATTTAGCGGGGAACCTGAGCATTTTATTAACACCGAAAGCGCGCCTCGTTTTAATAAATCGCCGCGGCAAATTGTAACTCGGGTCAGTTGTGTACCCCCTTGCACTCACCGTCCAAGTGTATTATAGATATTACTAGTGTTTAACATCTAACGAGCGAAAATCCCGATAAGGCGCGTGTGCTTGGAACAAAATGACGTATACCGGGCGCTTCCGTGTATATGGTCGCCGAATTCTTAAGCCAGGACGAACCTGGCACGTTGCTGGAGCCGCACGTCTTTTGAGGCTCGCATTCCTTAAGAAGCGCGGCGATTCCCGAGCATATCATTATCGCTCAGCAGCCAATCAGACTGCGGCACTCACCGATGAGAACGCCGAAGAACCAATCGGGAAGCGTGAACAGAATAGGCCACGCCCTCCGTTTCTTACGTTGTCGGTGCCTAACTCCGTTTAACTCGAAGTCGGTCCGCAGTCAACGCTACGATCCTACAGAGCCCATCGAGCAGCGCCAAACTTGCATCGTCACGGCACCCGCCGCTTTTTGTGCGTTTGCTATCGTCGACTAAACCAATTACGCAGGGCGGATGCGCCGCAATCCTATGCGGACCGCAAGTGTTCGTCCGCTCCTGTTGCGGGGGGTTGTGGTAAAGTTGAAAAGACGTCGAGCTCTGTTTGGCTCCAATTGGAAGGATAGTGGGTAGACCTTAAGGCAAGTTGCTTCGAGGTCTACCCCTTATCACTCAATCGGAGTCAGTTTTAAGGGCACGGCGTTCTGACGTCACCACAACCCGTGCAAAAGAAGCAGACAAAAGAACGAGCGCCGTCACGTTGCACCCTTGGCGCTGGTTGATTGGATCCGACGGATCCTGTAGCCGTCGGCTGCGATCGGGCTTGAAGTGAAACAGAGTGTAGAGCTCAGGGTACCATAGGCTGGTCAATTACATGTACGTATCAAAAGGTCACGGAAGTGGCGTACTGGCGTCTGATTGGTGGAGGCAATGGCCTCCCCCAATCAGACGTCGATACGTCACTTCCGTGATCTTTTAAATTTTTCATTTAAATGTCCAACCTAGCCCTCCAGGTTCACCGATACCGTGCAAATTTTAGTTTGACGAAAATGTTTAAGTGGAGCAATCTTCGTTTAACTGGAGGTCTCAACTCACTGTGTAGAAATAAGGGAAAAAAAATTGCCAGAGACCTTTACATTTGAAATCGTATAATGCGTTAAATGCAGTATTTCAAAAGGATCGATTTTATACATTTTATTTATTTTAAGCGTGTATAGGTTACACGACGTAAGGTCCCATGACATAAATTTTTCATCTAAATTTAGCGCGAAAATTGAATGGGTCCATAGGTCATGCGACGTCAATTTTCCGCTAAATTTAGCGGGGAACTTGAATTTGCCTGTAGGTTCCGTGACGTCAAGTCACGTGACATCTACTTACCCACTTAATTTAGCGGGGAAACTGAATTCGTGTAGTATAGGTCACGTGAGATAAATTTTTCCGCTAAATTTAGCGGAGAATGCAAGGATGGACGGAAAACGTTTTCGGATTTGGTCTCGGGGGGGGGGGGGGGGGGCTAACGTTAAAGAGCATTTCATGCTTTAAAATGACGAATGTCCGTCTCTTAAAAGAAACGTTTTGGAGACAAGGCGGGACGTACAGTATCCGGCCAGACTGCGCATGTCTTGGAGGCTGCAGGTGGAGGGAACGCACATGCCGATCCGGAACTTGAGGAAGTACATGTAGGCCAGCGAAGTGTCCAGTTCCAGCGTCTGCAATGGAGCGGTCGGTTTTGCATTCGGGCTCGAGGGGTTCGGCCGGGCTTTGCGGGCCCGTCACGCGTCATCTGGGTTTCTTTGACGGCGGCGCGGGGCAGACAGGAAAAGCACGTGCACGGCTCAGAGAACACGCGGCCAGTGGTTTTGTTTGGTTACGGGAAGCAGGAAGAGCAGGAAGATCCCAGCATGGTTACACAGAACGTTGTAGAAAAAGCGAAGAGAGCTACAGGTTTTGTTGGTTATCCTTTTCGTTCTGGTTGCCCCAAATCCTGGAAGTCAGCGTTGGCTTGCGTGGTTAGGGGTTGGCCAACGCTTTCGTACTTCAGAAGCAAGATTTATTCCAGCTCAGTGTCAAAGACGTTTAATTTCTTAACTATACGTAAAACACTTCTTTTTGTGTAGTTATGCAGTGGGCGTCATGCTTTTGAAGTCTCATCGAAAGCGATAACCCGGGTCAAAAAAAATAAGTATTGTCTATATAGCCCGTTTTACAACAACTTGGCTAACTGTGAAGGCTGCAGCCCCCGCGACCCAATAAGAGCATCGGAAAAAGGAACGTGACAACACTTCCTTATCGAGGCCACGGAAACCGTTTTACTGCCACAAAAACAGCGCTGTCCGCGACAAAAAAAGTAGTTCTAGGCGTGTTCTTTTAACGGCGATTGAACTCGCTCGATTGCGTCTCCGAGAGTATACGTTACACGAGACTAAAGAAAGACGAAGACATATGCTACTTTTCAATGATACTTAACTCGGATCAACCCTTTTAAACGGTGTTTGGACGATCTCAGCACTGTAATCGCCGGCTTCCGCTCATAGCGTCGCTCTATACATTAGCACCCGCCACAGATTGGCGAGTAAATTGAGCTTATGCATTGTCTCATGGACTGTTCCCGAACAGCTTGCTAGCGGACGGCAATGTTGTGGCGGTGGACGTTCATCCGAAGTTTACTGGTTTCGCAGCGGACGACTCTTGGTCAGCAGACGACAGCCGGTTCCCTCGGGCCTCGCATCTTGCACAGCGACACACACGCTCCCGTGACGTGATATCACGTGCCTTGCTCCGACGCTCTTATTGGCTCGAGGGGGCCGTAGCCTCCACAGTTCGCCAAGTTGTCGTGAAACGGAGTGTAGCAACTTCAAGTACCAGTCTTAGCCCGTTTTGCTCCCCTAAAAAATTCACGAAATTTTAGCAAGAACATTTCTTTTTCATTGCAACCCGTAGCAGTATATGCTGTGCGAGTATACCTAACCGTGTCTTGCTCGCAGAAATATAAATGCTCCAAAAAAAAAAAAAAAGGAAAAAAACACGCTTAGAAGGAATTTGTAAATTACCGGGAAAAATCAGGGACGTACGGGGGGAGTACACGCGTTGTCAAGGTAAGCGGGTACCATCATGTCCAGACATGCAGCAAAAAGCAAGCCCATTTAGCAGATAAACACCAGCACGGTACGCGCAAATACACTGTAAAAAATTTACGTCAATTTGACGTGTCTTTCCCTCGTCAAAAAAGACGGGCACGCTCACCATTTCAAAATACGAGGATGCCCTCATTATTTATTTGGCGCGAGAGCCGAGCCTTCCAGAAAAGCCGAAATCCCAGGAGTGCAAGCATGCGCAGATGGCGAGGAGTTGAATGCCCCGCCGCGCAGCGCGCAGCCCCGCAGCTCTTTCGCGGCCCTCCTCTCTCGCAGAATGGCGGTGTTGGTGCGTTGTTGCGGTTGTTGCAACACCCATCTCTGTTGTTTTGCGGTTTTGCTCCGAGTCGTGCGCCCGTGCCGCGCAGGCGCAAACAGAGGTTGCAGCAGCTATCGCCATGCTATCGCTGCTATCGCTCTTCGGGTGTTCGTCGAACTCGCCTCGGTGGCTGTTGACATCGTGGTCTGTGTAGTGTTCTGTGATGCATCAGGGCATCATCAGCTCATCGACGACTAAATCGCCCACTTCAAGGTATGCAATGTGACTTTATCCTTGCAATGTCTTGCTTGCGTATTGTAATCGAATATTTCTCCATGTTCGCGGTTCGAGTGCTTTCGGTTGAAGACGGAAAGTGCTCGAGCGTGTTCGAAATCTGCGGTCTGAGTACACGGGCGTCCAGCGACACATCGTGCTTTTGGTGTTTCTTTTTCAGCACGTTATGTTTCCGTTATAATATGCACGTGTTTATTTATCCGTGCTGCAGCGGCGGCGCCTTTACTCAGAGCCCTGCGCCTTACCTCTTAGGAGAACTCGCGAGTACGAGCTTTTATGGAAGCTTAGTTTCTGTGTTTGTTTTTGCAACAACATTCATGCAGCCAGAAAACATAAGCGAGCGGCTAACGTCTTTGTAACGATGCAATGTCATTGAACGACGTTTTAGCGGCTTCGAAAACGGAAGTTTCCAGTGCACTCGATTCACGAGCCTCTAAGACGTGCACAAAATTATTGACCGCCCTCGTAATTTGACGGGAAATTTCTCAAGCAGTTTGGAGGGTTAATTGTTGTAAACATCCACTCTGCAGCTCGCTGCTGGCTCTGACTTTATATTTAACAGTGTGCTTATTTTTTATATCGTATTTTCCGGGCTATAGTCCAAGGTCTATACATCTTTAAAAGCTGAAATTTTAGGCTGTGCGGACTCTCTACGCGTGCGGACTATACACGAATTTTGTTTTTCAAGATCGTTCATTATGAGGAGATGTGACGGATTTTGTGAGTGAAAGAGTATGTTAATGATGATTTATGTATATTATAGGCAGGCACGTAGCCAGGGGGAGGCCCCCCCCGAAACAAAATTTTGGCTACGTGCCTGATTGTAGGCTTCTTTGTGTGCTAAGAAAGCAGACATGTGTCAAGGTGTGCCGTCTATAGGAAGATTTTCGTGTCGACTAAGCACCAGGTGCCGACTATGCACGGCACGCGGACTATCTAAGTATCTAAGCAAGAACTTTTACTTTAGACCCCCAATTTGCCCCTGCGGACTATGGACCGGGTACGGACTATAGCCCGGAAAATACGGTACATATATTTTAGGCTTTTGCATGTCCTATATTCCGTTCACGCCTACGCTGACAGTGCGGTGCAAGCTACTTGTTCGCCAACTATAATTAAAGCCTCTTATCGCTTGACCTCGCTCTCCCCGCGTGAGTATGCGAGAGGCGGTGACCCCGTTGTGCAGAATCGACAGTTGACTGGTCAAACGAACATGCAGCTTCCACCGCACTGTCTGTTTAGGGGTGAACATTTCGCAAAATCGTGATAATTGGCTCAGCATACCCAACGGCTGATCGGCTTCGCAGAAGTTTATATTTTATTTATTTTTCTGCGCTTTCTTGTTTTATTTCTCATTGATGAGTACTGTTCATTCATTTGCACACCTGAGTCATTAGACAGCTGAAATGACGTCGAAAGATTCTTGTGATATATCTTTTTTTTTTTGTAATCTTTAACGGACTGTAAAGGAAAATGAAGGTGATATATATGTGGATGCCATCCTCACTGTATAATAGTAGGGCTCGGCGGACATTAAACAGGCGGATAAACGTCAAAATATGTTTACTAATTAACCGAAAATTGTAAAGTCACTGTTTAATTACATAGCTTTTTACTTTTCTTATTTCACTGTAGATTATACTTGTGCAGCTTCAGACACCCCGGCCGTGACACTTCCCCTTTGGACTTGGTTTAATGAATTTGTGTTTAGTATAGTTGCGTTATTTGTTTAGTATAGTTACGTTTATTATCATTAGTGCATGATTTTTTTTAACGAAGTTATAATTGCTTCCTCTTTTTTACAGTGGCTATTTTCAAACCTAATGTTGCATTTGCATATGTTGGTGTGCATGTGCATGGTGTGTGTCTGCATCTAACTGTGTCACATGGCACCTGTGACATCCTAATGACGTCTGCATATACAGCTAAACCTCGTTATAACAAAATGGGATATAACAAACTAATGGATATAACAAAACAATCATAATTCCCCTTGCTTGCTAATAGTGGGAAATGGACATTGGCAATAACAAACTAATGGTTATAACGAAATAATTACGACCGCTCCTTGAACTTTGTTATAACGAGGCTTTACTGTAGTTGTTTCACTTTGCACTCGGGCTCAAAGTATAGCTATGTTGGACTGTTAATTTCAGGGTGGCATATCCCACAAGCCTCATGTTGGCTGTGATGTGCCCGTCATGCTAACTGATGTGCGCTAGATACAATAAATGTATTATATTATTATTATTATTATTTAGCGGTTTAATGGGCCTCTCCGCAATTGCAATTTTAAAGAGAGTAATGTAACCCCAAAACTCTAACCGGCGATTTCCGAAAAACATGGATTACCCAAAACTTGCTGCTTTTTCACAAAATTGTTTCATTTAGGTTGGGCTTTAATAATGTCTCCGTTTAAAATTGCAATCGCAGCATAGCCCATTATACCAATACTTAAGAAGGTAATTAACATATTTTGGTTAGTAAACATAATTTTATGTTTATTCTCTTCTCTAACATTTGTCATTGCTGTGGTATTGCTGGCTACTGCAGTGTGTGACCCAATTGTTATATGTTTGTTATAGGTACTTTGGCCAGATAAACCTCAAAAGAGGTACCAGGTGTGCACCATGCCATACCGCAAAGAGCGGCATTTATCCGAAAGTGCTCAGGCTCATCAAAGAAGGGAAATGAACCCGTAGGTACTATCCAAAGATTGCCAGCCGCTCTCTTCAAGCCGCATGGAGAGCTCTATGAGTTCAGCAAGTGTTCCTAGTGGTCCTTGGGATATTTCATGCTGGAGGCTTATGTAGTATTGGTCTTGTCTTTGTAACTTTGTGGGTATAAGGCAAGCTGTATTAAATTTATTGCAGGTTCCAGTTGCACCAAGCAGGTGCACTCACCCTCAGGTTGCAAGCCGCTCTCTTCAAGTCGCATGGGCCCAGGTAACACGAAAACATTAGAATAATGTTATTTTTATGTTCGTCCCAAACGTTCGAGGAATGTTCTTAATGTCCGCCTG